CTGGGGGCTTTCCGCACTTCTCCAGTGGAGAGCCTCCAGGCCGAGGCAAACATACCATCACTCGCACTCAGATGCACACAACTCTCACTGCAATACGCAATATTAAACAAAGCTCAACACCAGAGAAACCAGCACATGACTGCATTTTCAAAACAAACCCAGACACCATAAGCAAATTCCAAAACTACGAAAAACTCATCAAATCCATCGGCCTCAAAGTCCTTGAGGATCTCAAAAACATACACTTTTCCAAACAAGACATCCAACAATTTCTTTTCCCCGACTTCCCTCCGTGGCACCTCACCAAGGCAAAAGTAGACATATACAGCTGACCACACACAACAAAGCAAGCACAAACACCAAAATATTTAAAGCAGAATACAAAAAACTCATACAAAATAGCCTGATGCGGAGCTAATTTTCAGAGATGGCTCCGAATCGGACTCTGCTGAAGGCACCGCAGCCCTATCTTCAAACAGTAGGCCTACACACCAGAGGAGACTCCATCCCGAAGCCTCCTGGCCATGGCACTGGACTCCGTAGACAATTCTCCAAACAAATCTTTCCTTATCCTTTTTTACTTTTGTCTTGCATTACCTCACTAACAAACTACACACTCCTATATCCAAATATAGTTAGTTTGCAGCAGAAAATACACGCCTTGACTGAAACCGAGAAAAGTATCGTGTTCGCATGGCTACCTAGCCATATGGGCATCCAAGGAAACGAGCAGGTAGACCTCCTGGAAAAAAAAATCCTTGTCCCTTCTGTTGGGATCAACGACGAACACACTCCCACATACTATACTGACTTTAAGAATAAAGTAAAAAACTACACCTCCAGTCCGTGGTAGACCCATTGGAAAAATCAAGTTAACAATAAACTTTACAACATTACGCCCAAACAGGGACCACGAAATCCTTCGGGCCTCTCCAGAAGAGACGAAGTCATTTTTGCTTGATTACACATCGGACACACGGCCCTAACACATAAATACCTTCCTTCCTTCCTCTGGCTGGCCTCCGTTAGGAGGGCGGCAGTCTGCCGCAGGCAGACAGGTTCAGGTAAGCGGCAACCTCTTGTGGCCTCGTCCAGAGTACATCCGGGCCCGGTCTCGCGTTGTTCTCCATAAGTGTGCCTCGATGTGCATCCCCCGCGGGCACTCATACAGTGCGTGCTGCAGGTCGTCAGGACTTGTGCCACACGCCAGACAGGAATCATTGGGAGCGGAGCCTATTGCATGGAGATACGTCTGCAGGATGGGGCTCTTCGTGTTGCATCTTAGCTGCGATAACACTCTTCTCTGTCTGACGGTAAGGTCTTTCTCTTTGTCCCTCTCCGGTGGTGGCTTCACCTTTCCCCCGACGGAGTCCTGCACTCGCGCTTTCTCCCATGCGTGGGCAACGATGTAACGCGAGATGCACGAGCTTGCTGACGCGATATCGACTGGAGTGTTGGACTGGTCGAGGCGGCCTCCCTTGTTGGCCAGGCGTCAGCTCGGTCGTTCCCGTAGATGTCGCAATGTCCTGGTGTCCATTGTTTGTGAAGGTGTCAGTGGATTTCACAGCATTGGCAGAGAGTGGTCCACATTTTCCCCTCTATCTCAGTACGAACTGCAGTCACTCCAGACATTAAGTGTTGAACTACTGACTGGGAGTCTGTGAAGATGTGGATTCTTTGAAAACGTGGTTGTTTTTCGAGCCATTGCAGTGCGCGGAGCAGGGCGGTAGTTTCAGCTCGGTAGCTGCTTCCGTATAGTCCCGCGGGCATGGATACGCATGTTTTCTCCCCAGAAGATTTGTCTAGACACTAGTATCCTCCTCCACATAACCTGTAGCCGTCGGTGGCATGGCCGTCAGTGAAGATATCGAGGTCGGATGTAGGCAATCGGCGCAGTCTCGAGATTTAGACAGGAACGGAGGCGACCGAGTTTTTGTCCAGAGGCTCAGCCGAACCGGCTGATCTGAGTCTCCTGTTAATAAAGGCCGGCGACGTCGAAATCACATAAATACCTCCTTCGTATGCGTCACAGACTTTACCATTAGACACATTTTTAACCAAAGGTCTAGACTTCGGAGAGGCCCGAAGGAAATACATTGGAACTCGGATTCAACGAGAATTCAGATTCAACGAGATGAGATAGATTCCCCGTTTTTTTACTTCTTTAAAATCAATTTTTTAAAAATAGCCCGGATTCAACGAGCACTTAAATCAGCGAGCTCGGATTCAACGAGGTCACTTCCAGGGTGAACAGCCTTCGCAGACGCGGCTTCGTTCATTTTTCTCCCAGAACTAACTTTATCTATTCCCGGAAACCATCCATTGCACCTGCATCGAGAACCATTATTACTATTAATACTATTATTCACTTAGCCAATTTCATGCGACCAATCAGCGGCCTTTTTTCATACAAACACATGAGCTGTTGGCACACGCACGTGTCTACTCTGGCGTGTGTCGGAGTCGTATGGGCGGCCTGCACCCGAGTTGCTGTTTGTGCGTTTTGGGGAGGGGGGGGACACTAGCGGTCCGGGCGTTGAACGTCGCAGATACACACTCGTCAGTCTTTTTCCTCCCCTCGGCAACTGATCATTATTACAATGATAATCTATTCTAGTCTTGATGTAGATCTACGTTATGAATAGCACGCTGGTCTATGAAATCAAAAGTTTTTGTATGCTAAGCTCTACACAGCAACACAACTTTTTGATAAACAATGGAGATGAAACAGGTGAGTGCATTTGAACGAATCTCTTTTTTTACTCAGCTCATAATATGCAGGCATTTCAGCCACTGCTTGCGACTTCTCTTTATACATTACTTGCTCAATGCCTGTAACTATGTACACAAAACCTCGTGTTTGCTATAACGAACACTCGGATTCAACAAGATTTTAGGTCAGACCTGGTGACCTCGTTTAATCCGAGTTCCACTGTATTTTAGATACCAAATATTGCGCAAGATCTGTTTTCCATCGTTGCTCTCAACAGAATTCTGGATTTTATGAAGGCCATTGGCCTTTATGGGAAGTTGTAAATGAAATAAAATAGTTTAAAACTTTTATATTATTTTTAAAAGTGATTTTAAATTAAAAATGTATTTACACCAAATTTCAATATTTTAGCATTTTAGTGAACTTGTAGACCCAACCCGGACTGAAATGTGCTGTTGCGAACAGAACCAACTTTTTTCCGCGCGCTCATGACCTTATGCAGTTGCGAGCGCCGTAAAACTCTTACTAGTCGGTTCAGGGCTCATTAACCCAGTGACCCCGAGCTGGGGAGCTCCTGCGGGCTGCTGAGTCACGCTAACTAAAAGTAACAGAATCGGGCGAAGAGTGACACCGTGTAGTAAGCATAATCACGCTAACAAAACACTGTTTTCGTATCCAACCAGTAAAAATACATGAACATATACAATGTGGAATTTGTTGTTTATCCCAAATTAGAGTTCTAATGTACACTGATGATATGAGCACATTTGTGTCCACTTCCTATATTAAACTGTAGCGTAAGTAGAAGCACTGCTTTGGTACAACCACAACATGAAAACTAGGCCACAGACAGCTTTGGACAGCCTTGTACGTATGTAGTTTAAGTTTGGATTCTGCGATAAACGTCAGTGCCGCTCCTCACTGGCGCGTCCTCAATGACAGCTTTATAATCTATGTGGGACACAACGGTTTTCATTTTGGGATTCTTTTAATTTCACAGCCTTGAGCAGTGTGCTTACTTGAGTGTGAGTGAATGGCTTTCTCTATGTGGTCACCCTATGGCTTTGTTTAAATCTCTCTTGAATGAACTTTTAAATTCATCCCGTTCGTACAAATAAATATATCGTGCCTTGCCGACTGGCATGGGCGATCATGAACCTCCACTTCATTCTGTCTTGCGTTGCAGTGATGGTGTGTGTCGTTCTTCCTGTTCTCAGCCATGTTGTCAACCTGTCCAGTGTCTTTTCCCTCTGTACATGATAAAAGGCCTCGTGTAACAGCGTTCTCTCTACTCTGTAGGGTCAAGCAGGCACTTTCGAAAACTTAAGCGGCTGTTAAAAGTACGGCTTCAATAGGCTTTCTCTATGTGGTCCCCTATTAAGTAGGTTTCCCCTCATTATTAAAAGGTGTACAAATTGCAAATACATCTAAATTGTCTCCAATGGAAAGGGAGGGGGGGGGGTAAATTTTCAGGAGGACTTTCCTTAAGTTCCCCTTCTCTCAAACGACATTTCAATTTCAGCATTGAGAGAGTGGGGTTGACCCTCTCAGATTTGGAATATAACTATTTATTAGTCTCAATTTGGCGACGACCGTTCTACAATGGCACTTGTGTATTTAACTTGTTAAAGAGGGGAAATAGACACCTAGTTCCATGAAGACTTGGGAATTTAACTGTTTATCTATCTGCTTGAGGCAGATTTCGGGGATGACACACATGACTCATGACATGTTTTCCTGCCTGCGATGCTCTTAGAAAGTAAAATTCTATGACCTCACACATAAACCTGTAAACCCATACAATCAAATCTATAAAAGTGTCTCATATTGTTACTGCTGGACACTATCCTGTTCTCCATTGACAACTCAGTTTCAATGAAACTTTGAATGGACTTTTTATTGAATTTTCAGAAATGAAGGTGGTCAGTTTCACTCATGACAATATGTTTCTAAAAATGAGGAGCCAGCCATATCTAAAAGTACAGAAAATTGCAGTGGGAAGTTGGTGCCACTAATAATTTCATCCCACTGTATCATTATATGGCCCAAGATGCCGAAGACTCGCTCTCCTGTGCTGTTGTGGTAAGTTTAATACAAGTCTAAAACCTTGATTTACTGCTGTAAAAAATCAAAATTAAATCAGTTCCACCAATAAAAGTTCACCCTCCTTTTGTCCACAGGTGTAGCCTACTTGATTTGTATTCATTTTGTTATAAAGTGGCAATCATTTATACAAACTACAACTTCAAACTGTACTGTATTATAAATTAAACAAAATCAAAACAATATTGAGGTGCATTTCACTTTATTCCGTTCCAGAATAATACCTCACAAAATTTCATTTCCCGAATGACAGTAGCCAAATTCATTCAGTCCTCACATATACATAAAAACATGCATTTTCAACAGAATTTAGAACAGATGACAAAATAAATATAAACTTATATCATTTACTTTTTTCTACATCAACGTCAAGGGTACTGATCACAAAGAGCTTTATACCCAAAATATTACGGACGACAGAAAAAAATAATGTCAAAAGATTAGGGCTCTTTTCTTTAATTAATTATCAAATTTAGGATCCATTTTGCAATTTCTTGTGCTTTTACAACAAAGTGTCATCTCCACAAGACGTAAACGCCTTCTATTCTTTGACCAGATATCCAAAAATTATTGTTGGAATATCAGTCTGCCATTCAGGAGACCTAGTACCATTAAATGGGAAGGGTTGACAATCTATATCTTCCTCTACCATACCCAAAATGATGTGGATGAGAAAATAATGGAAAGACAAAAAGATTACTGACTATCAATTGTGAAGAAAAGAACAAATACAGTGAACAAAGAAGCTCACCACTTAGAAATTTTGATTGACATTCACAACAAAATACACAAGTACTATGATAATTAGTAAATGACACATCCATCCCTAAAAAGAAAAAAGATAAAACCATACATCAGGACAACTGGTACGAGCAAATCCTTTTGCCTCGGTAAACTTGGCAGCTGTTCACTCACTTTTCTGGCTCTGTTGGAAATTTTAAAAAGACATTAGGTCCTGGTGACTGGGATTATGAATGAGGAAAGAAAAAAATATGACTGGAACAATGCAAACATATATCAGATATATTTCTATCGCACACTGTTAGCACCAAGCAAATAAGCCTCTACAACTTTTCAGAATTGAGCCTGCATTTAAACATCATCATATAGCTGACACAACAAATAAGCAACACAACAGTACAGTATCTGTCAATAACAATAACATTTCTGCAGCGCAATTTATCTAAGTAATCTGTTTGTGAAAGACTTTTAGGACAAATTTCAACACTTTGTAGTCAAAAGATTTTCAAATCCAAAGGCTCCACAAACAGCTCACGGAACATTAACATATGCAGCGGGATTGTACAGATCTGAGCAAAAAAACCCCCAAAAAACAACAGAACAAACAAAACCAAAAAAAATCAAGTATAAGCCTCTAGCACAATATCAATTGCACTTTATGCCTTACATTCTTACTGAAATGTAGGTGCCAGTGACACAAATTCTTAAAAGCAAGCACTATTCCTATTTGAATGACAGGTAGCCTCCTATATACACACTTCAACAAGAGTCAGAGTCAAATCACTACTAATCATTAACTCTTTATCGCTACAGGAGAGTTTTCCCACTATGCCGGGACCCTCTTTCAGTACGAAACCTGAGAGTGACTTATGCGCCACTAAATTGGTCATTAAATAAAAAGAAATGAATCTATTTTGATAGTTCTCCGCCTGACAAAAGAACTCCCGCTAAAATAGACCCGATTTATAAAGCGTTGAAGTCTTCGTAAATGGATGTGCCAAAACCACTGCCAGCAGCTCACCGGAATAATGCTTCTGACTGCCAGTTAACTCATTCGCTACGCCGAGCCGTGGGGGGCGGCGCGGCTCAAGTGCCGTCAGTACGTTAAGCCGCCCCCGGCGGCTCGAGAAACGACATTCAATTTTAGCTTGGTTTCTATTCCAATCCACTTATCCATGTTAAAATAAAGGTCATAATATAATGTTGACTTCCGGGTCAAGCGTTTCCACCGAAAATCGGAAGTTTTGATTCAGTTTTGAAACTTGATTTCGTAGTTTATTCGACTTTGTTTTATCGCGAAGCCCAACTTATAGCCCAGACACCAGTCTTAGTACTTTTACACAACAAAATATATAATTATTTTGCTCACTAAAGAAGTGTAGGACTCTTCTTTATAATATTGATACTATTGGACGCAAATTGCCGGTGCACTGTAATTGAGAAATCAATATTTTTGAGTGCTAGATCTAGGCCTAGATCTAAATAGTCAAAATATTTTTTTCTCCCCAAAATCACTACTTTTGGGTGAAATTAATCAAAAAGTACCACTCAAGACATGTATAGGTTTATTCCAAGTGCAATTCTGAATAATTCCATAAGTTACGCATATTTTTTTCTGTTTGTGATCCTTTTTTCAAAATTATTCTAAAAATTATTATTATTTCAATATCGGATGTTATGATCCAAATGTACAAATATTATGGAATGTATGAAAATATCTGCACATTTTTCAATATTTTCCTGTTCTATATACAGTTATGGTTATTTTGAGGTATCATTTGACTAGGTGCAAACAGGTTTTTTTAGTTTCACCTGAGATTATAAATTTTTTATTTTCCAATTTTATCCGCATCCAATCACAATTGTGTTGCATAATCGCCTCTTACAGGAACCAAAGTTGAAAAATACGCAAATAAATAATGCAGGTGTATTCTACAAACCATACTGAAAATGTTGGTATATAATATGTTGATATTTATTTGAATTTATGGCCCCAAAGACCTGTGAACTGCGCACTAGTCATCATCTCATTTCACCCTCCCGAAAAGAATTCGTCCACAAGCCGAAAATAATACGTAGCGAATGAGTTAATTAACGATTCAAAATAACATTTTTAAAAGATTGACTGACATTATAAAGCTGTGCAAGGTGGGGGTTTTCCCCCCCAGGAGTGGCTGAACTGTTAAAAAAACCCAACACTTTTCAAAACTTGTGGTGTCACTAAATGTGAAACAGAGACCTTATAAAGCTTGGACATTTGTAGCATTAACTCACTTCAGACGGGTCACACAACAGTTGCGTGACCCCCGCCGCGACGCTCGCGACGGGTCTCACAAGCCCTGCGTGACCAACTTTGGAATTTTTTTTCGCTCTACTAATCACGCACGGATCGCGAGACCCGCCTCGTACCCTTGTTTGGCCAAGCCTGAGCTACTTAGACTTCATTTCGTATCTCTGGGGCCGGTAGTTTTTAAGTTATTGAAGGTGAAGGTCAGTGACCCCAACTGGGGTTGAACAGACCGGAACTCGCGCTTTGTTTTTTTCTATACAGCTCATAGTAATCCGACAGTCGCGTCGTAGTAACGGTCGAAGAAGTCGCATGAACAAGAATCACATAATTTCGCCGTTTTCTATACTTCTGTGCGTTTTACTAGTTCTAGTGTCTCAGAATATGATGAGTTTAATAGTTAGGATCCTGGATATGTACCCGAACACGGCCCGAGTCGTAGTTCTAGGGCTAGATCTAGCACTAGTACCGGTGTTGTTTTTCGCGCAACGAAATCACAACGTCGTGCCGTACATCTGTCTCATGTAATTCAGTGTATGGGTCTGAATCAATGCACAGACCAGCTTTTATATTTTCACCAAACACTCGCACATGTATACAAATCAAACCAGAACACTTTGAACTTTTATTTTTGTTGTTGCAGTGAATTTCATTCAACTTGTCACGTCTCTGGAAATTTTTCGGAAAATCAAATTCATGCCAATTTTTTAAAAATCATACAAATTTAAGTATTTGACTTTAGTTTTTTGTATTAAATTAAGCTTGAATGTTACTTTACTGTGTCAAAAAACGATTACAATAGGGTAATTCTGAGAGTTGTGGTGATTTATTGAAATACCCCCAAAAACGCCAGTCTTCAACGCTTGTGACTGGTGAAAGGGCCCAGTCGCAAGTGAGTTAACACTAACAGAAATACTGTGTCATCTCTCACAAATGTCAAACAATTCACAGGGACGATTATCAAAAACACTATACTATCAAGCCTGAAAATAATAATAGCAAACACATAAGTCAGTCCATGGGTCATTACGAAAACCCTTTAAATTTCATAGTCTCACAACACCATGACTTGACTTATATTGAGACGAAAAGAAAAAAACTTCCAAGGATTTAATTTTCACAAAGTTAAAAACACAACAAGAAAACACAAACACAAAAAAATCCCCTTAAAATATTCACACCTGTTTCATTCGCAAAATATATTAACTAAAGACTAAAGCATTCTAAATCTTTTGAACTTTTTTACTTGAAATTACCTTCATCATCATCGTCATCATCATCATCAGATTCGTCGTCAGAGTCATCTTCATCATCATCATCATCGTCTTCTGAATCAAAGGTTTGGTCAGGAATGTCATAGATCCTGACCACAGGCTGAAGAGAGAAAAAAATAAGCTCCACTGGTCACAACAACCATCCATTCATACAAAACTTTGAAAACTGTCCATTGTGTGCCCTTTTCATGCTATAATCCACATCGTTAAAGCAAGCAATAAATGTTCAATTTGTAAATTTTTCAAGGCACAGTTGGCTACAGCAATGTATCTGATAAAATTGAACAATAACATTTTTTCCCCTAATGTGACACAATTTTCATTTGTCTCTGGGTTCATTGTACTCAATAGTGGTGCCGACATGACACTGGTATAGTGCCAGTTTTACATGGCAAAAACAACAAGGATGAAGCACATAATTAATTATAACTGAGGAAACCCATGTAGCAGTATCAATAGTGATATTTCCTCTTTCCCTGTATGAGAACACATCCTCAGCGTATTACCTTCCAGTATGGTATGTCAGTCCTATGATATAGTATAAGAACTGATAGCTGATATTTTGGAACTATAGAAGTACAGTCGAACCTGTGTAAGACGGCCACCCATTGTCAAGGAGAAAAGTGGCCATACAAGACAGGTTGCCACCATAGGCAGGACTGATCAAGATGAAGAAAACAAACCATTCCTTTCTGAGGTTTGTTGTTGTCGTTATTGTTATTGTTTTCGCTGGGGGGGTTTTTCCGGGTTTTTTTTCTTTTGTTGCTGCTTTTGAGCAAGGGTGACAACAAAACAAAATAATTCAGACAATGATGACCAAGTGGTATGGTAAAACAAACACATGGGTCGCCACCACTGGGAGAACGAGCGACGTTTCTGTCACAAGATCATGTTGACGTCTACTGTTACTTTGTTACAGACTGTGTAAACAGTGACCACTCATCTGACTTACGATTTGTGTATGAGTTCTGGGCCGGGCTTGTGGGTTATGAGGGATCACACGCTTACCTCACCAGCAACTGAAAATTTGTTACCTATTGGTCAACAGTGGGAGAGGTCTACGCAACATGGTCAGTTGGAAGGATTGTATTATGACGGCTCTTCCACAAAGCCGGGGGCCAATGCACAATTTATGACAAAACGGAATGGAGTCCCTAAGGTGGCAGTCTCAGACAGGTGTTCTTGCTTAGTGTGATAGGGGTTGTGTGTTAAAATATGGTGGCCGCAGCCGCGTTGGACAGGTGCCCGTTTTACACAGTTAAATTATATAGAAAAAACACAAGGGGGGAAATTGAAAATTGTACAGGTGGCCGTCTTATAGAGGTGACCGTCAGGGCAGGTTCGACTGTAGTTAATTCCTGAAATCTAAATGCGGCTTAAATCTAGCTATCATATTACTCTAATGTACGAAGAGGGTGTGATGTAAACAGAATGGGACTCTGAGAACATGCTATATTCAGAGCAAAATGAAACATAAACATAACAGTAAATAAAAACAGTCGCACTGTGAACAAGCTATTTGTTGATCCATCCTTTCCTTAAATTCGGAAATTTACTTTAATGCAGCGACACCCAAGTGTATATTACTGATCATGTGTACCTTGTTTGGATCCTTCATGATGAGATATTTGCCTTCCTTGAGCTTCATACATGTGTCCACGATACAGCGCAGGATTCCCCAGGCATTGTCCATATTCAGGTTGATCTGGTTGGCAAACTCCACTGGTTTGAACTGCTGAGTGCCAAGAATCAAATGCTTGGCCGTGTCCTTCACGTGTTGACGTGACACATACCTGGACGGTGGAAAAACACAGAAATATGCTCACACCTCTGCTTTGAATAAAGCATATAACAGTATTTCCTGTAGTCAGTCATAACATGTAAGTACCACTCATTTAATAGATGGAAGAATGTTGTTCCTGTTTAGCATTACGTTTGAAACTGAAGTTTTTCTTTTAAACTAAACTTTTATGTAAAATAAGAAAATTACATCATTCCTTTATTTCATAAATGAAAAATTGGGAAAATAAGCAAATTGTAGTCATGGAAAAGCACAAAACTTTTCAGTTCAGTTTTAGTAGAGGTTTTACAGCGCTCGCAACCACATAAGGTCATATGAGCGCCAGAAGATTAGAGGTGTTACATGAGAGTAACAAACATAAAAAAGTGCTTCCACCAGCTGAAGCTGAAAAGTAAGGACAATTTTGCCGCGGGTCTGGGAGCTGCAGCAGGGTCCAGAGACAGAGGCCCGGAGCTAAAAAAATTCAAATTTAGTGCTTTTAGGGGGTTAAAATGGCATTTTTGGGAGCCTGTTTGAAGAGATTGCCTACAACCCATAACATTTATTTGTTCGCCAACATTCTGTCTCGTTCGATTTCTTCACCTACATATCTTTCCATTGCTGGCAATGTTTAAAAGCAGGTTCCCTTTCCATTGCTACTATAATTCAATTAATTTGTCATCGCACCACTGATTAAAGGCAAACCTGGGAATAATGAATAGATATGTACCTTCACAGAACAGTTACCCAGCATATACCCTAATTTTTCACAATTTTCACTTCTGAATGTTGCATGTCACAAACTTGGAACACCACTTCAAATTATTCTTGATTTTAGTAGTTTTAGCATAAATTTCTTTCATCTTGGCCCTTATCGCGTTACCGTGCCGTACAATCTTCGCATTGATAATTTCTCTAGATCTAGACAATATATTTGCAAGCAAGTTTCTTTCTCACAGTAATTTTCTGTCTAAGATCATAAGTCAATTTACTTGATCAACACGCATATTTTCCAGCCGCGGCAAGTCCGAAGATAGACAGATGGAATGAGTGAATGATAGAAAGGAGGAAATTGGGACAAAAAGTCGCCAGATTTTGATCAATCTGCAGGTAAAAATGTACTGCCTACCAAGCCGCAATGAACGCACGAAACATAGGGGAATAACGGCCGATTGCAGGAAAAGCGCAATCTAGCAGGTTTCTATAACATTAACTTATGGCCGAGAGAATTACCGTAAATATCCATAACTTTTCAAAACGGCACGAAGCCGAGTACGGATCTTTTGCTATGGAATTTCGGCAGTCCTACGTACGCTGTCGCAGGTTTTTTAGGAGGGAGTTGATAATGAAGGAGGAACAGGAGCGGAACTGGTAGAAAGTACGGATATCCGTAAAAATATGGAACTGTGGAAGCACTGAAAAAAGAAGAAAGGGAGATAAGGACGATAGATAACAGGAAAGAAGAAGCAAACCACACCAGAGCACCCGCCAACCACCCACCTTTTCATTTTACAATAAATGTGTGATATTCTTAATGAAAGACATGGTTGTTTTGCATAGCAGTAAAGATGTCATTGAGATACAAAAGAATGAACATACACATGTTTTGGAAGAAAACTGAATTTGATAGTTTTTACTTATTGACAAAGTTAATTTATAAGTTTGGACAAATCCACACATACAAAGTTCCCAAGAAAATTTTCATAAAGGAAACACATCAAAGACAAAGCAACATTACTGAACTTTGACAGCTAAAGTAATTCATTAGAATACACTTTTAAAACACAAAGACTTCTCAGATGAACAATACTGGAAAAAACCCCCCACAAAGAGTCGATGTATCATACCCAAACTTGATCTGGTCCGAGCCAGCAAGGAGCGAGCTCACAGTCCATTTCGCCAGCTTGCAGCTGTTGTTCTTCAACTCTGTGGCCAGCACAGCTCCTTTCTGGTTATCAAGGCGACCTCTCCAGTCCACACCTCCAGAGAACTGCAACACAAACAAACAAGCATGAGTAACAAATTCTGTACAATAAGTTTTTTAGTAAGAATTTTATAGCACTTTATAGGTCATATAGCACCAAAGGAGTTACCAGAGAGAAACATGTAAAGAAAAGAAATAGAAAAAATTGTAAAAATAAGCAGCACTGAGAGAAGCACACAAACCCCCCATTCAGTTACTTAATTAACTAAAGCTACAGAAAAAAAGTGTATAAACTTGTATGGGATGTGACAAAGGCATGCACCATACGGAATAAAATTGGACTTTCACAAGACTGAACCCATAGAAAACATTTCAAGCTCAATAAAGCACTGTTGATTCTATGGAACAATAATATTCTTATGTTGAAACATTTCAGTCTTTGTAAATTCAATTTAATCAACTTGTGGACACTTGAAAAAGAATGATATCATGGATATATTTTTAAAATATGACTTTCAGCAGAAAATTCTTTGTTCTACGAGACAGAAAGGCCAGGTTTTCATTATAGAGTGGAAAACATATTCCAGAAAAACAGATTTATGTTTGACAATTAAACACCACAACAACACCATAAATAAAATATTACCTCTGTCCCTCAGAACCATGAGCTCTAGAGTAATATTTACAAGGACAACATCTCCGATATAGTAATGACAGTATTTTTATTTTCTGACTCTCCTTCAAGTTACTTTGAGAACCAAAACAGGATGAGAAATTCAGAGAAAGCAAAGGAGGTACCCTGGCCTTACCCTTGAGTCCCATTCATTCAAAGCCTTCACATTCATGAACTGAATCTCATTGTTGGGGCCGTAGGTCACTGCATCATGCTCCGTGCGGGCAATTAGTACAATGTCATTGCCAAGATCCCACTTCCTATACCTGCACGTTTTCAGACACAAAAAGAAAAATAAATAAGAAACTAATGAAAAACCTACACCAATTCTAAACAATGTGTAACAAATTCAGATTGCCCCACATACGGCACAGATAGAGCTTGAATGACTCTCATCAGGCAAACATCTTAAACTGAAAGTTGGCTGTATGCAACATTTCGTACACTGTCAGTATGCTGTGATAATGGCTTGAGTCAAACTAAAGACATAGGGCACCATCCTATCTATTATAAAAAACTATAAGGTTTTCAGAGGTCTGTCAAAGCTACAGAAGTTACTACAACACAGAAAGTATGGAAATTTACACAAGTTGTCCATAATAGCACCAAGTAGTGCCTTTTAATACTTTGGTACTCCAACAATTAATGTATTTTAAAAAAATGTTTTTTGATCGCCATAAAGTGGAGGAAATGGTACAAATGGAACAGCCGCTAGCCCAATGTCTCGTAAAGTCTCAAAGTCGTTCGCAGGATAGACAAAAATGCGTGTCTACAGCAAAAAAACCCCACAAAAATGCAATTAATAAACTTAAACAAACGGTATTAATACTAAATTTTATAACCATTTGTGTCTTTAGAGAGAAAAAAAAAATAGATCTAGCGGCTGTGTTTTCACGTGTAGGGAGAAAAAAGGAACAGTGGATATTCCGAAATCTATTTTCGTTTTAAACTAAAACATGACCAGAGCCGAGTGAAGTTTAAACCAAAATGTGACTAGAGCCGAGCGAAGTTAGGGAAGATGCCATCCTGAGATTGGGTCAGGTATGCTAGATCTAAGTCTATATCTAGATCTAGACAGATTAAGAAAATGCCATCTTGAGATAGGGTCAGATGCCGATCTCGCCAGATCCAACGGCAAGTAGGTCTAGATCTACCGTTGCAAGACAATATAAATCATAGGCATGATCAGGCTAATCGACAACAGAATCCCCCAGCTCTAGACGAGAGCGCAGACAATCCGCTTCCACTTCATGGACTTTCCAGAATGACATTAATTTGTCGATTTTGCAAAGCAAAAAGGTTTCAGGAAAGTCTATTTGCTGCATGAATGGACAGGTGAATTTACCACCTTTACCCCCGCCTCCAACAATTCTGAAGGATCTTCTGACTCAAAACACCGCAGAGGCAAACATTTTAGAAAAAACATAAGAGCTTTCAATTCAAATCTGGCATTTGCCTCTTCAGGAGTTTTAAAGGAATCGCTTTACCGCATGGTGTGTATTGCTTCCGAATCCAGGGACAGGTGTATCACAAAATAGGGCCGTTACTGCCAGAGGATAACAGCAAACCCGCTTTCTCATAAATTTATGTGCATGACACTGATAATGAACTGACAAATAGGTGCTCATGGAACTCTGGACTAAACATTGGTATAATGCATCAGTTACAAACTATGTTGCATGAAGTCAACCCATTTGTTCACCAGTTTTCATAAGCAGCCGAGCAAATAGAAAACACTGGGAATCAAGCGAATGAAATAAAAATGATGCTCAAAGCAGACTCTTCTAGATGCCAGAAGGTACAATCTTCCAACCGCCAGTGAAATTGCTGTTATTTTACCAGGTAACGATCAGGCCAGAGCATGTCCATAAGATGTTTTGTATTAAAAAGTGTCAGATGACCCTAATGAATGACAAGCAGTTCATTATGATCCATTTCATTATGTCCTACTGTTTCCGTTAAGTTAGGAGAAGATGGGTGGCACATAGGTATTCCAAACGAAGGTCAACGAAAGCAGCAAATCTCACCCATGGAGTTCTACGCTTACCGATTAATGGACAGGGGTGGATTTAATACAATTTTGCATGCGGACCGTCTCTTTCAGCAATATATCGTTGACCAGTTTGCTAAAATGGAGCAACATCAGATTCTGGCCTGCCCTTCACTTTGCACAGACGTCAATTTCCAGTTCATCCGTGCTTTGCGATGACCATCAATAAATAGCAAGGTCAAACATTTGACAAAGTTGGTGTGTATTTTACCAGAACCTGTTTCGAACACATGGGCAGCTTTATGTGGCTTTGTCAAGGACAAAGAGTTTCAAATCTGTGACAGTTTCTATACCAGCTCATGAAGGTCAATTCTTTACAAGCAACATAGTATACATGACCATACTGTAACAGTCACCAGAATGATGGCCGCATTTAAAAAAATTAATTTGCCACATGGGTTATCAGTGTTGTATACTGTCATCTTCATGCTGCCTTCTCTTAATGCTGTTTCTATTGCTACTATTGTCTTGCCCCGTTCTATGAACGAGTTGATGTACTAGTATTAACAAAAAGCTGTAAACCGACGCTACAAATTTCAAAATTATACCACACAATTCCTTATGGAATGAGTCAAGAAAAGAAATCAAATCGACTCACATTAAACTTTATAATCAAAACGCATTTTAATCTTCCTTATTTCAAGGTTTTAATGATCATGACACAGAGAATTAATCTTTACCTACCGCCTTACAATTCGACATATGATTTAAAAATACATTTTTGTAATTTTTTCTTTAACATCTGATCTACCAAAGGCAAGAAAATGTGATTAAGAAAGATGTATCCAAAGGGCTGTTTAAAAAAATGAAGTGACTATTCCCAGTGACACTGGGGATAGGTACAGAAACTATTCCCAGTGACAACGGAACTCTTTTGCATTAAAAAATCAAGTCTTTGCCTTTATATTTTCAATATTTTCACTTCGAACCAAAATTGAAAATGGCGATGCAAATGGAAGTGGGCGCGAAGTTCTCCTCCTTCATAGAGTTTGAAGAGAAATTTGCAGCTTTTCAAAAGATCAAGATTCTAGGCCTAGATTCTATTCTAACGAACATGTACTGTAGACTCTCTTCTCATTTCAATTCAGCACTTTTGTTCTCTTCTCTTACTTGGGCCTAGACTTGACCGTAGCCTAGCCTAGATCTAGATCTAGAAGAAAGAAGAATCGGGAAGGATTTCCACATGTCCTGTAGCCTAGATCTATCCGTATTAAATCTAGATCTAGATCTAAATTACAACTGAATAACAAGCAAGCATAGAATGATAATTCCTTTCTTTAAAAAAAAAATTCTTCCACTCACACCAAAATCTCCTTTAGTTTAGATCTAGTCTAGTATTAAGTAACCCATCATCATCATGCCAGTGTAGATCAGTGTGGGAACAATAGATCTAATGGGCCTGTCTGTTCTCGGTGTCACTGGGAATAGTTTCTTGGCCTATTCCCAGTGACAACGGGAACAATTCTGGCCGTGGCCTATTGCCAGTGGTTTCTGGGCCTATTCCCAGTGACACTGGGAATAGTTTCTAAGCCTATCCCCAGTGACACTGGGAATAGTTTCTAAGCCTATCCCCAGTGTCACTGGGAATAGTTTCTAAGCCTATCCCCAGTGTCACTGGGAATAGTGCTTTCCTAAAAAAAAACCACGCTGTTACAACGAGTACATTTGATTTCATTATATTCTTTAGTCCAACTTTAACATGTGCTTCTAATTGATGAAAAATTCAACTATTTTGTTTACATCTCCCAGCCCTCAGAGGGTGGAGCACAGCTGAAAAAATACCCCTAGTCTTTCATTAAATGAACACATGACAATGTCTATCAAAACTTAATGAATCAAAGTCATATGGTCACGTCACGAAAGAACAAAACTGAATGGAGAAACAGAGCAAGCTTTACTTTCCTTAGAACCCTTTAACCACTTCAAAAAAAAAAAAAGTTTAATTTTTAAAATAAAATAAAACAGCATACCTATATCCGACAGATGCTACATCAGTTTCATCACCACCTTGTACAAAGGGATTCTTCTCATCAAAGCTGTACTTCTCTTCATTCTGTAAGAAAGACATAAATCTCATTCAACACAAAAGAAAGTACACTACACAAAACACAGAAACAAAAGTAATGATAATTTTATTATTAACTGTCTTGGGCTCGGGCCTTCAATTAAATCTGACCCCCATGATAAGAGAAGAAAAAAATAATTCATTTGACCAAGCTAACTAGTTTGCAGAACATCGAGTAGCACTTAACATAATAAAAATATTTTACGAGTATATTGGAAAAATGGGGCCTCTACACTTTACTAAGACAGAGCAGGAAAGGTAAAGTGACAGAAAAGAGCAATCCTGGACTAAAAATGCCCCAGAAAAGAAAAATGCTGCAAATATGACAGAATTATTTTTCCAAACAACGGAAAAGACATGGTGAGAAAGACAGGAGTAGGGAGGCAGAAAGGGAAGTTATATGTAAAAAGACTTAAACAGGTCTTTTTTTTTCTTCTGTTAAAATCACTGTGGCCTGCACTCCTATATATATATATATATATATATATATACAAAAAGTGCAGTTCACAATGAAAATACATATTTTAAACCCGACCCCACAATCACCAAAATTTACTACAACATGGTAAGTACAACTTTAATCAGAACAAGAGTACACACCATTCTCAAGACTTGCTGGGAGAAGTTGTGGTTGATGAAAGTTGCTTCAAGTGCCAGGCTGCGCGGAGAGTTGAAGCTGCTGCTGCTGCCGTCGTCTTGGGGCGGCTCAGTCGCCGTTTCACTGACAGTCAATAGGTCAAAGTCAGAGTCATCTCGCTTGTCAAAGAAAAGTTTGTTTCCCACACGTTGTACAACAATGTCCCAAGAGTAAGAAGATCTTGGACAGCACATCATGGTTGCCAGAATAGCATCAGTAGCAAAGACGTTGCCTTGTGTTTTGGCCAGCTGAAATGATAAAACATTCATACACCATCACAAAGACAATCTATCCTGCACAATCAGACAAACATCCTATAAAGGCAATTTTAAAAATTACAGTGAATTCTGAAAAGATCAATAAGCTTTTTATACAAATGTACAAAACCAAACTTAAGCTAACTACACTGATACATTTCTTGTTCACTTATCTCAGCTCAAATTTAGATACATACATACCTACAAAATAGTTGCCAGTAACTTCCTTCTACCAGCTTCATTTAAACTATAATATTAGAGCGAGGATGCGAACCTGTTTCCAAAAATGTCAAATAAATTACCTGTCTAATAACAGGGTCATCAGTAGTCGTGATCTTGTGGAAAATACGATTAATCCTCGTCAAGCGCTTCTCATTCTTTGTGGTCACTCTGTCATAGGTCTTGTCGTAAAACTCCATAGAGCCGCATATTTTCCTGAGAAAAAAAAGGAACAAATAAAAACTCTGACAAGAAAGTCCTATTCTGAGTAAACAGTATCTTACTTAGAAACTTCTTCAAAACGAAATTATCAAACTTTTTCTTAAAAAAGCATTTTAAATTGCTTTGCTTTGGAATACATGTTACAAAGAAAAAACCCATCAGACGCTACAAAATATAATGAGGTCTGCTCACTTCACAACAACTTGTACCCCTACACATCTATTAATGTTCCACACAAAAAAGTTAAACTAAAAAATATTGAAATTGAACTTCAGTACCGACCACATGGTGCACAATTATTTTGCTTTTTAAAAAAAGTTTTAGAGGAGGTTCTGCTGCGCTCGCAACTGAATAAGGTCATATGAGCGCCAGATGATTAGAGGTGTTACAAGAGAGTAACAAACATAACAAAGAAGGGGGAGATAAGTACGATTGATGTTTCATAGGAAAGAAGAAGCAAACCACACCAGAGCATCTGCCAACCACCCACGCTTTATTAAAAAGATGGAACACCCTCAGACACAAAGAGAAAAACGTTGTAAAACCCTTAAAAGAGAAATTGAAAAACAATACGAACAACGGCAACTGGAAAAGCAATAATCAGCAAGAATTTTAAATACACAAAGGTACCCCAATTTACCCCCACCCCCAGCTATGCAATTTAAGATGTCATGTAATAATCTAACCCTTTAAAGACATTTGGAGCAAATAAACAATCTTCAATTTAAAAAAAACACTGGGTATGGATAAAATTTGCTTCATTTTCTTCAGAGAATATTGTAATCACCAGTTATACGTTTTATGGAATTTTTAAAATGCCAATATAATTCAGAGACGGGAGTTCACTAAGGTACCACTGACACACTTTTACATTCCACTCCCATATCCCCAATCTTCTTTTCTTTTATTCCAAAAAAGAAAACAATTTTGACACTTTCAATACTGACAAAATGAAAGGATAGAAGGAAAGTTCCCCAATATGTGAAGCAACTCACAGGTCCTCTCCATCCTTTATGTCTGGCAAGTTCAGCTTTGTCAATCGTGGAAAGTCCATCTCCTCTACGACTACCCAATCATCCTTGATCTGCACAGAAGCATCTCGGTTGCGAATGGGGGCTTTGCTGCGGTTCTCTTGCATCTGTTTGCCAAATTGCTTTTGCCACTTCTTCAGCAGCCTCTGGCGATCTCTCTCACGATTCTTTTGCGTTTTAGTGAGGACTTGCATGTTAGCCTGCGTCTGCTGCTGCCGTCTTTCTCTGTCCCTGCGTTGTCTGTTCTGTTTTCACCAAAAAATAAAATAAAAATCTTATTAAAATGCTTAGAGCCCAGAAAAAGGATTACATAACCCCGCAAGCAAAATAAAAAGGAAAGACATCCACATGAATAGTCAATACTTTGCTGCCAAAGTTGGGATACAATCAAACTGTCATTTTTTTTGGGGGGGGGGGGGGGGGGCGGGGCGGAGGTAAAGTCTTTTACGGCGCTCGCAACTGCATAAGGTCATATGAGCTCGAGGGACACATTAAACTTTTTCAGATGGTAGGAGTTGTACCATGTCAGGGAGTTTTACAACGCTTGTGATCACATTCACGAGAGTGGCTGATCTTTATCGCAACGGGCCGTTCTTTAATCTCAACTTTTAACTCTTAGTTGATCTGCTGTGCCCGCCCGGGTGTTTGTTCCGTAAATTATGATCAGAAATGCCGGCACTTACTCTTTCATTAAGCTTCAAAAGTACTCAAAATGTACTTTAAAAATACTCAAAAGTACTTTTATAAAAAGTATCAGAGTAGAGTAAAAGTACTGGTTCACAAAAATATACTAGAGTACAGTAAAAGTACTGAAAATTGTAACGTAAGTACATGTACCGGAGCACTTGTACTCTGTTACAACCAGCTCTGGTGAGAAAGAGCAAAGGAGTAGAAGTAGGCAGGCTGCAGAAAGAGTCAGGAGCCCAGAGGAAGAGGCAAAAGGAGGTGAGGGTGTGGGGGCAGAAAGAGGAGACGAAAGAAGACAACAGAACATTGCATGAGAGCAGGAAAGAAGGTGAAAGGAGACAATTTTAGAGAAGAAAATTTTTCGGTTGCTACCCGGATTCGTACCCGAGACCTTTGAATGAGAGGCCAACAACACCTTAACCTCTAGGCCACGAGATCTCCCTCTGTCATCTTTAAAATGTAACCATGAACATAAATCTATATAATAAGTGCAACAGCAACAATAGGAAAAGTGCAAATTCATGTTACACTGAATGAGAAAACGATATTAATAAAGAAAGTTATATGATCCTTTTCTTTCTTACCTCAAACTTAAGTAACATTAAATTGCTGCTGCAGTTTTAGCAAAAATAAAAAGGTAGAAATATACGTACAAATGAAAATAAAAAGGGACTAGATTATCAACGGATTGAAGAAAAAAAGTCAAGATTCCGTACAAAAAGTAGAAGTCAAACTACACCAATAAATTACAGGCGTTGTACTTGAAATATGGAGTCAGGGAAATATTAACCACCATCGGCATCCCCCTGAACCAAGCTCTCTGACTGGCGACAGAGAGACGTTTCTTTCTTCCCGCGATACCCAAAAGGGTATAAGCGGTAGAGCTGTGCCCATTCGACATTCATGATTTTTGAACTATTCAAAGCTATTCAAAGTGTGGCAGAGCCATTCGAATGCAGTGTGATTTTTTAAAAAAACATATAATGGATTTTCCTCTCATTTTTCTCAAACTCAAACGTAGAAAAATTGGAGCAAATTATATATAAAATCATTAAGATAAATATACAGAAATACTCTTTATCTGATGGTTACAAGACAGAGTGATAAGAGGAACCTACAAGAGGTATAAAAAGCAATCCTTTAGAGAATATCTCTTACTATTCAATATTCACTCGTCACTCTATGGACAGCTCAAGCAAGGGCACTTGACTCTTCAAGCGCAGCGAATGTTTTTTTCATGAAGTTAGCGGTCACAATGAGCTCCCCTAACCCTACTCGAAATTCGAAGCACTATGAACGGTGACGTGATGTCAACGCGTTGCACAACAATACATGCGGGCTCAGTGACTGGCGTTGAACAGCGCAAGTCAGATCTGGACTATCACAATATAAGACAAAACTATTTGACAGCGCTTCGAATTGCGGAACTTAGATCTGGGCTTATGTTATATAAGAAAAAACTATTCGACGGCACTGTGAATACCAGAAGTTAGATCTGGGCTTATCACATGTAAGAAAATATCATTCGACGGCGCTTTGAATTGCGGAAGTTAGATCTCAGCTTATCTTATATAAGAAAAAACATTCGACGGCGCAGTGAATAGCGGAAGTTAGATCTGGGCTTATTACATATAAGAAAATACGATTTGACGGCGCTTCGAATTGTGGAAGTTAGATCTGGGCTTATCACATATAAGAAAAAAACCATTCGACGGCGCTGTGTACAGTTAGCGAATGTAGAGTAGCGGCACTTAGGTATGGGTTTATGCTTATTACAGGGGCGGCTCATGGGGCTAAAAAGTGGACGTGCACAATTAAGCTATCGCATGCTGAAGATAGTCACGGGCATAGATCTAGTAAATGAGACGGTGTATAATTTTAGGATCTTTGAGTTGGTGAGGGAGGACCTCGTGCTTTTATTTTCATTGTTTTTACTTGTCGCTTTGATTTCTCGTACTACTGAACACTCAAGTAATAATAACGTTCACTACTCCATTACAAAACAAAGGCACAACTCATAGGACGGTCACGTTCACCTCCCTCAGGTTCACGGTCACAGAGTCACTTAAAATAGTAGCAAGACATCGGCCTACAAGGAACCAATCACAATTCACTTGAACACTCCGCTGGATTGCTCCGGGGTTCACATAATATTGGCAAAGAATAGCGTACGGCCTATCGCGTTTATTTTACTTTTAGACTTGCCTACTGTGGGCTATGTTTCGCCACTGTTCGGCAGGAGCACATTTGAGATGTGCCGTCTTATTAATATTAATGTACCGCCAAACTCGCTACGAGTGTCGTCATGGCTTGGGTTATCCCCAAGAGCGATTTATAGGTCAGGTTACACTGTTGAATATCCTATTATGTTTAGCTAAAGCGCGTGGACTTTGGCATGGCATAGTAGATGTTTTGCGGCGTTATAGACACAGAAATGACAGTATGGCTCCAGTGAGAACCTTGTTTTGATATAATATTTGGCTAGTGTTTGTTTCTGGCTTCTTTTATTTTTATTATTGTGGGTGTTTTACGTAACTGAACATTAAAAATTTTTGGGCGGCACTGCCCGACCGTGCTCTATGGACGAACCGCGCTTGGCTTATTATCATAATATATAAGAAAAAAACATTCGACAGAGGCATTCTCATGTCATGAATAGTGAGCTCACGCTTCGAAGCTTCGATGATTTTTTGTTTATTCAAAATCGCACAGTACTAATAAGCGGCGGATAAAAGTAAAGTAGTGTTTAAAATGGATAGCAAGTCTGAAACTGACAAATTACTTGAAAATAAAAGCCAAGTGTGCATAAATATGTGCTGCAAGAAATAAAATACAGGACGAGAGAAAGATGCAGCATAATTTAATTTTTTCGCTATAATTTTATTTTTAAACACAATTAGTAATAGTAAGAGTGAAACAAATGTCCCCATCAGTTTAATTGAAAATAAGACTTCAAACTTTTCTAAGTCAGGCAAGTTAACAAATTAATTTAAAAAATAAAACAGTTGAAATTACTAATAGTACTAATAGAGGGCAAAACAATGCAGCACTTTACCCTCACCATCTCATAGGAAAGGGACCAACCTGTTGGAACAGACGACCTCTCCTTTGATAAATTGGCTTCTGAACTCGGGAGGTATCCACAAGCTGGAAAGAGCTCTCATCCTCTTCATGATAGTAAGCATATTGACTCCCTCCTCCAAAAGCTGAGTTGTACTTGCCTGGAACAAGCAATTAAAATTAATCATTCTTACAGTAAGCACTCTATGTATATATATATATATTTTTTAATTTGATTACCACACCCGCCCCTCCCCACCCACACACTCATCAGAAGCTATATCATGTGCTTTGCAACAGATACATATTTATGTAAAAAAGAAAATGCTTCAACAGGTAGAATGAATGAACCTTTGTGACCACAACAACATGCCATGCTCACATGAGGTTATGGCAAGTGATGCAACCAAAGGGTTGAAGCACAATTTCACTGACCGGTCTTGATGACAGCCCCACTGAACAAAGCTCAAAACTCAGACAATGCTTGGTTGTTTGTCTGTTTTTTTATTTGTTATGTAACTGTAGAATAACTAATGGCTTATCATTTGCATGGTATCACTCTGCATTTATAAAACACAAGCTGCACGTAAAAACTATTACAGTTATTAGACCATCAACGGAGAACCCTAGGTGGTAATTAAAGCAAAAACAGACTTCTAACTTTTCCTGATCTTAATTGCCCAGCCTTGATAAGATAATACACTTCTGTCACCCGTTTCGTTCGCTCAGAGAACACTTTTGTATTCATTTTTATAGTGGACAGGGCACATCTAATTTTTCCCCCCTAAATTATTGGCAAAAAAAGTTGCAACCTATATATATACAATATGGTAGGAAAAAAATGTTTAAATGCATGAATATTGTACCAGTACATATTGACCTAAAACCACGAAAAGTCAACAAATGAACAAAGAGCAGGATCAAAACTAGAAGTATGTCAATACTGTACCAAGATAACGCTTGTCTTGGTAGGTGTTTCCAGTCCAATCAGATACCTGTGTTAAATAGAAAACAATTGTTGAGAATCACAAAATACCTACTCTTAAGTACAATTATATTGTGGGTCTAAAGTTTTTAAAAAAGTGGAGCAGAAAATGCGCTTGAAAAATCTTAGAGAGAGAGAGAGAGAGAGAGAGAGAGAG